ACAAAACCCAAAGTGACACATAATTAGTTCAAGGACTGTTGGAAAGTTGATAATTCGACAGGGTTAAATGCGCTGTGCAAGTTCATCTTTTTATCTTCTTAGCTGTATCTGACCTTTTTCTTTCTATGCTATCTCTTTTCCACCAGGTGAATCTCCTGTCCCACCTCCCTCCACGGTGTCATCCTCTGCCCTTTCCACCTCAGCTGTAGCCCCTCCTCCTCCGCCTAAGCCAGGCAGCTCCTCGCAGCAGGACCGGAAGGTTCCCCCACCCATCGGCACAGAGCGGCTGGCCAGGATCAGGCAGACGGGTTCAGTCAACCCACCTCTCCTCACAACCAGCTACACAGCGTCTGTTGGGCAGGGAGGGATTTGGTCATTTGGGGTTGGCAGTGCTTCAGGTAAGAGGAAGTTGTATGTGTGTGTGTCCTAAGCAAGCATATACAATATTTGAGTGAACAGCGATATCCAGTGATGCCATAACCTTTTGTGTATTTTTTTTTTTTCCACAGAGGCCATGTCAGGTTGGTCCCAGCCCCTGATGAGCAGCCACATGATGCACCCACAGCTGCAGGCAGAGCAATCGGCCTTCTCTCAGCACCAGCCTATGGAGCAGGACGACACAGGCATCGCAAACCCTGCTAACAACTACCACCAGCCGCAGCACTTGCCCAACAGTTACATGGACTTCCCAAAGGTAACATGAAGCCAAAGCCGTGTCCATCATTTGACATTTGTTTTTCTTAAGTACACGTTTTACCAGAATACCTGCTCCTGTCTGTGTAGGGAATGCCTATGTCAATGTATGGAGGAACCATGCTGCCCCCTCATCCTCCCATGGCCGAGGGCCCGGGGGGACCGATGTACAATGGTTTGCACGCTGGTGACCCGTCATGGAGCCCCATCATCAAAGTGGTCCCAAACAACGCAGATAACTCTGACCCACAACAGCAGGTCAGTGAACTTTTAGCCAAACTTGTGTCGACTTCTGCCATTCAGAATATGTAACATTTGACTGCAGTTGTTCTAACGCACCCCACCTTTGTCCTCTCTTCTGCAAGGTGTGGCCTAGTACCTGGGCACCTCATGTGGGCAATGTGCACCTGAACCACGTCAACTAGACGGCGTCCACAGCAATCAAACGCACACAGCATGATCCACAGTGCAAACATGTAATACCAACCGACGAATACGACCGAATAAGACAAAGAATAAAGAAAAAGTACAACATGTAAACTTTAGTAGAGATCTGAAAGTGCAGAGCAGAGGTTGAAGAATTGGAAGTTCTCTTGACGCCATTCTTTGATGTGCCTATCTCAAACAAGGAAAGAGGAAATTGGGCCAGAGCTGTTATCAGTGTCCCAATGATGCAAACAAACATGCGCGATCACCTGTTCAACAGGATCCATTCTCTGCGTAGTTTTTAGCGATTTTGACTTAAACCCACATACACCGTTCTTGGGCTGCAGGGGGCTCAACATGAAGTAGCTATTTAAACTTGGCCCAGAACTAGATGATGATTACCTAAAGAGAAAGAGAAATCAGAACCTTTTAGAGTGGTAAATACATGTATAATTGTTTACATACTAAAAAGGGTTAAAATGAGAGTAAATTTCATGTCGTATAGTGGCTCTACTTTATGTAGCCTGTATTAATGTGAAATATTTACCTTAATATTCAATAAAAAGATTGAAAAGTATGTGTGCTGAAGCATTCTTCTTTCCTTATTTTCATGTTTTGATCGAACATGTTACTGCTGAGACTTCAGCAGACAGGACATCTTGGTGTTTATGTCATCTACTGACATCGGCTCGTTTTGGACACACTCCTCTTTACTGCTGGTGGCCTAGTACAGACTTGTCTTTATGGTTTCACATTTTATCTGAAAATGCAATCAGATTTTTATTAGATATGGATTTTTTTAAATGCGTATGTTTCAGTCATTTTACCTGATAAGTGGAAAAGCTTGAGCTTTACCGTCATGACCAATTATATTTTAGGAGGACGCATCTATTGCTTGACTCTCTTAGACCAAATTGAAAAGCTTGAGGGGATTCCACTGGATGGAAAACTCTAAATGTTTCCGACATGAAATACAGCATCCCCACTTTTTAATTTGAAATGCAATGATCGTTGAAACTTAACACAATAATGCCACTTTAAGGTAAGAATGGTTTTAGTGGAAAAGGATGAGTCTGGGAGACATTTTCCAAAATAATACCATTACAAGTCTCAGTAATTTCATTATAGCAAACTGCATGATCAAATAAAATGTGGACTGTGGTGACTTTGATGATTGAATTTGTCTAACTTGTACTCGCTACTAAAATCACTGAAGGCATCATAAAATGAGTGACAATCTGCCAGTGAAAAGTAAAATGTTATAAAGAGACTATCTGGCTCAATAAAAATGTCTCTGATGCTAAATGTAACTTTTGCAGGATTTTACAAATGTAATTATAAGAAGCTGTGTATTCCCATGCTTTTTCATTCATTATTTAGAGAGCAGCACAGTTTAAAGGTTCCATATTGTGTTGTT